GTGGCTCTGAGGCCCACCTCCTCCCAGATTGACTGTATGGGTACAACCTGGTCCTGCACCCCAAAAGCTTTTCAAGAATAATCATAGCAATGAATTCTCAAAATCCCATCAGACCCTGGGCTATGTAGGATCAAACCTCCCACAGCTCCCAACACGCTTAGCCAAGACCTCCATCCCCCTGGCTGCTTGCATATCCGCACCAGCTTTACTCTGGCCTCCCAACTCTCCTTTAACCTCGGTCGCTCTGGAGGTCTCCAAGCTGTTCCTAAGGTCCACAAGACCTGCAGCTCAGGGCCTGTGCTGCAGTGGTGCCCTCCATGAGGTAGGCTCTTGCCCTACCTCTGAGCCCATTTCACAGCATTTACAGTCACCTCCAGGAAGCCTTCCTGGAATCCTCACTCACCAAAGTCAAACTCCCAGTAACTCACAAAGCATATGATGAGTCCTCACCCTTTTCACCGCTGTCCCTGACTGTCTCAGGGCAGTTTGCCACTTACCCGGTCACCAGCTCTAAAGGCCTGTAGGGTGAGGGCAGGGGCTACCTGGCCACTGTGTGGCCTAACCCCCAGCACAGATCCTGACTCTGAAACAGCGTCTAGCTGAACAGACAGGAGAATGACCAAAGGGCCCGCCCTGGGTCTGCCGCTGGCAGTGACCCTCTTCCCAGATGTCCCTTGCAACCCTAACTTCATGTTTTCTTTTTGCTGTTGTCTTGAGGTCATCGTAGGCACCAAAGACACCCTTACCAGCCTTTCCTCTACAGTAAGATTTTGCAAAACTGTGCGCTGTCACCACCAGGATGTTGGCAGTGGAGCAACCACCCATCGTTTCTGATTTCCCCGTTTACTTGCATGTCTAGGAGAGTGTGTGGGTCTCTGTGATTTCATCTTCTGGGCAGGTGGGTGTGTGCCCCACCGAGAGCGCTTCCCTCACCAGGGAAGCCCTCTGTCCCTGGGGTCCGTCACCCTGGCAGCCAAGAATCCGCTTCCGTCGCCACAGTTCTGTCATCTCAAGACTGTCTGAAGGAGGGAATCTCACCTCACGCCACGTATCCTGCGGGGATTGGCCCTTCTCTCTGGCGTGATTATCGTGCCCTGTCTAAGGTGTGCTGGTTTGCTCACCAGCAGTACGGCCGAGGAGGATTCCTGATATGCAGGGACCAGTTCGTTTAGCATCGTGCACAGAGAGACAGGGCCTCCCGTCTTGGCAGTCACAAATACTCACTGCACTGTCCACATGTATGCAGATGTCTGTGTGAACAGTTTCCACTTCTGTGGGATAGACGGTCAAGCGTTCCCCTGAGGATTAACTGTTTTGT